CAAAGGGGGGGCGAACGCACCCCCCTCAACCCTCCCCCTGGATCCGCCTCTGCTTAAGATCTATAGGTAATCTGGATAGCCTAAAAAGTGTTTTCAATGCATTTAGGAGGAAACCGTGGCTGGGTGCCCCTCAGTATTTGAAAAATCTAGCGGCTGTATTAAAAAGGAAACCTTTGGACGCTTGAGACGCAGTGCTCTTCCAAAGTTTAAATGAAAAGGCAATTTATTCAAGCTTATGTATGTGACTCTGAGTTTGATAAACCGAGGTCGTGGCTTAAACCTTTTCTATGGTGCACTGGTCTTTGTTGATTGTGCAACTCTGATCACATTTCTCTGCGTCACTCGGGCACTGCAGCTGACAGTTGCCTTTTGTGCACCTTTGCTCACAGCTGCTTCCATGGCATTCCAGACCACACCCACCACCAGTACAACTCTGTTCACAAGTATCAGCTTTGCATACATTTGTTGTACAGTTTCCCGCTGTACAGCTAAATGTGCACTTTGTGGGAGCCGAGCATTCCATGTTGCAATTTCCACCTAAAAAAATGGAAAATCAGAAGTGATACTCATCGTATATATACCTGATTGCAAAAACGTTATTATCATTATTATTATTGTCTCTATTATCAGAGTCTTTGCTGGTGTTCTTTTTGTGCATCAGCCGGGCGCAAACCATGCACCTAGAGCGTCAGTTACTCAAGTCAATCATTCTGTTCATACACTGAGCACCTTTCTAAGGATTGGTGCAGATCCCAGCATGCAGATCTTTTGAATCTCTGCCATAGTAGCTCTCTCTGATACTTTCTTGATGTTTTCTACCATACCCTTCTTCACTGTACCAAGCGCACCAACAACCACAGGGATCACTACGGTTTTCATATGCCACATTCTCTGTATTTCTAGTTCTAGGTCTTTGTACTTGCATTTTTTTTCAGTTTCCTTCAGTGCGATGTTTCTATGTGATGGAACAGTCATATCAATAAGTTTGCAGGTGAAATTCACTGAATCTTTAACGATGATATCTGGTGTGTTCGCTGTTATAGTTCTATCAGTATTGACTGGCATGTCCCACATGATGGTGATGTTGTTATCTTTATTGTGTGTCACGGTCTCTGGTTCGTGTTCGTACCATTTGTCTGTAATCTCTATATCACGATCTTTACATATGCTCCAATGGAGACAGCACTGTGGAGATATGCTGCAGCATTATTGTGCCTGGAGATGTACTCTGTTTTGGCTAATACCTCACATCCAGATACAATATGGTCCACTGTCTCTTCATGTTGCGAACACAATCTGCATTTGCTCTCCACTTGCTGGCCACATATTACTTTCTGGTAGTTTCTGGTGTTTATTGCCTGGTCTTGAGCTGCTACAAGTAATCTCTCTGTTTCTCCTTCAAATTACTTGACAACCATTTGTTGGTGGTGACTGAGTCTACATGAGGCTTCTCTAGGATCTTTGGATACTGGCCATGCAACGCTTTGTTTTTCCACTTTTCTTCTTTCATTGACTTCATCCTGGACTTAAACACGTGTTTCAGGGCTTTAGCATTTTCAGAGGCAGATTTATCTTCTCTGTTCTCATTCTCTGGCATTGTTACTTCCCTTTTGAATTTAGTAGCATTCTTGGATATTGAATTTTTGGCTTTAGATCTTTCATGTTCAAGCACCTGCTTTGGATATTGCCCTTCCTTGTGCTTGAGATAGTGATCAAGCCCTATTGTTGCAGTTTTGAATGCTGTTTCTACATCAATCAGGCCCCTACCTCCATCTTTTCTTGGGATGTACAGCCTTTCCACATAGGATGTAACATCTTGTGCATGTTCAATAGTTTGCGTGTTTTTGTGTCAATCTTCTTCAGTTTTATTATTATTATTATTATTATCATTATCATTGTTGTTGTTGTTGTTGTTGTTATTATTATTACTGTAATTATCTGTGGTGGGGACATAAAACTTTTGAACTTCAGAGAAGTTCAAAACCTTCATTTTGAAGTGGAGAACAAAGCATAACAGCATGCATTTAAAAGTTACTATGTTATGTAAGGGACACTAACAGTTCACATAAACACTGCACATAGTTTCTTTTCCTCAGCTTCATAGTGCTTCGCCTGTATAAACAGTAACATAAGGGTAACTTTGTGGTAGACTTTCAATTGTTTACAGAAGAGGTAGCGTGCTCATCTGGCGATGTTTTTGTGAGTACATTGGTAAGTATTGTGAAGTAAGAGGTTTATTTCACATTAATATAATATAGAAGCAACAATATTAAATAAAGAAAATAACATTCTCTTAGAACCTTTAAACATACCAGTGCAGGATTGTTCACAGGAATGGTAATATGACGAATTTTCGTAACATTCCATATCACAGCCCCCTTGGGTGCACCACTGATAACATACGCCATTCTCCACGCCTCCAGTACACTCATCAGGAGCAGTTTCCTCTATGGTGCACTGGTCTTTGTTGATTGTGCAACTCTGATCACATTTCTCTCGCTCAATCGGGCACTGCAGCTGACAGTTGCCTGATGTGCAACTTTGCTCACAGCTGCTTCCATGGCATTCCAGACCACACCCACCACCAGTACAAATCTGTTCACAAGTATCAGCTTTGCATACAACTGTTGCACAGTTTCCCGCTGTACAACTGAATGTGCACTTAGTGGGAGCCGAGCACTCCATGTTACAATTTCCACCTAGATAAAATGAAATAAAAGTTTTAAACGTAGTAAACGTTTCCCTGTCCCTCTGACACAACACGCCGGGTCAGCTGTCATCAAAAAGTGATCTCTTTCAAACTAGTTTTTCCATTTTTAACCGTTTGAGCTTAGACTTGGCACGATAATAGAACTTTGATTTTTCAACAATCGTATGTTTTTGGATTTTTGATTTTAACGGTTTTTGGCGCGAAAATGACGTCATAAGATTGACAGCAAAATATAAGTTTCAACTTATGCCATAACAGGTTAGCGATTTTGAAAGAGTACTTAGAGAAGAACTTGAAAGAGAAAAAAGTTTTTGAAAACCTCATCTGGTTAAGAAGATATGACATTCTAAAGATCACCAAATTTCTAAAAATAGTAACAAAATGGCGGAAAATACAAACAGCTCAATAACTTTTCAACCAATTAAGCTTTACAAATACTTTTTTCACATTTGAGCTCATCTTTGTAAGTTCTTTTAAAAGTTCCAGTTTTTTACGCCATAAGTGGAAAACTACTTTTGCTGTCAATCTTATGACGTCATTTTCGCGCCAAAAACCGTTAAAATAAAAAATCCAAAAACATACGCTTGTTAGGAATGCCAAGTTCTATTATCGTGCAAAGTCTCAGCTCAAACGGTTAAAAATTAAAAAACTAGTTTGAAAGAGATCACTTTTTGACGACAGCTGGCCCGGGGTGCAGATCTTTGTTATTTTAAGACGCAGTGCTGAAAAAACATGCACTGTCCAGTCTAACAGTTGGGTATGCCCTTATAGCATTGCTTTAAGTTAATTTTATCATTATCATTATTATTGTTTAGCATTATTATTATGATGATGATTATGATGATGATGATGATTACAAATTTGCTCTCGGCAAATATGTAGTAAAAATGTAAAAACTGAGGAGTGAATCTGGGGCAAAGATGGTAAATGCCACATTTGCATACCAAAAACACGGGGTTGTAAATAATGCAGTAAACATCCGCTAACAAGAACCTAGAAGTTTAAGAACCTGGTGGAAAAATGTGGCACTTAAATACCCAAAAATATAAAAGCCTTTTTAGTCAAGCAAAATGGGTTTGGTTCTTATATGTGGGTCACAGGTAAATAATATGATAAACATTTTATCGAATTTTAACCAAGGAATTTTACTTCAAGATTGCCAACTGACATTACAAGAAAATGCTGCACCAAACTGTAATTACAAATAGAAGTATTACAGTAAGGCTGCAGTAATTCCTACAACGAAACTGACAGGTTTATAAAAAGAACAGATTGTAACTGTCTTCATATGGACCTTACGTAAAGGAAGTTTGCAATGTACAGTTATGAATAAGTACTGTATACTTAAGAACTAAACTTAAGTTTCTTTATGTTTCTGATAGTCAACTATATCATATATCCTTCATAGAATACGAACGTATAAGAACCTACTTATCCTAAATTGCCAATAATTACCCCACAATACAAGAACCTTTTTTTCCAGACCTAAAAAATGTAAGTTCTTGTACACGGGTGTTTACTGTATTTGTCGAGAGCGAATTTGTGCAAATCCATTTCTTCCGGTGGCTTTGCCTGTATAAACAATACCATAAGGATGACTTCGTGTTTAGCCTGCGAACAGCAGACGCATTTTCGGTCGTCGCTTCTATCCCTCGGAAAAATAGCGACGCTATTTTTCGGAGGGAGAGAAGCGACGACTGGAAATGCGTCTGTTGTTCGCAGGCTACTTCGTGTTAGACTTTCAATCGTTTATAGTAGAGGTAGCGTACACATGTTGCGAAGTTTTTGTTAGTACATTGGTAAGTATTGTGAAGTTATTAGAGGTTCACTTCACATTAGTGAATAAAAAGAAATGATAGAAGCAACAATAATAAATAAACTAAGAGAATAACATACACTCAGAACCTTTAAACATACCAGTGCAGGATTGTTCACAGGAATGGTAATATAACGAATTTTCGTAACATTCCATATCACAGCCCCCTTGGTTGCACGACTGATAACATACGCCATTCTCTACGCCTCCAGTACACTCATCAGGAGCAGTTTCCTCTATGGTGCATTGGTCTTTGTTGATTGTGCAACTCTGATCACATTTCTCTCGCTCCCTCGGACACTGCAGCTGACAGTTGCCTGATGTGCAAATTTGCTCACAGCTGCTTCCATGGCATTCCAGACCACACCCACCACCAGTACAAATCTGTTCACAAGTGTCAGCTTTGCATACAACTGTTGCACAGTTTCCCGCTGTACAACTGAATGTGCACTTTGTGGGAGCCGAGCATTCCATGTTGCAATTTCCTCCTTAATAAAATGAAATATTCAATTCAGAGAAATGTTTATGATGGTCATTGACCAACACTTTAAACCGTGATTTCCGTTTTATCTTCTGGGTAAATACATGTCTTTATGTACTTCGGTCGCATTTGAAATTGGTCAGTGTTTGCACAACACAAAGATGCTGTAATGAAAACCAGTTTGGTGCTTTCGCGCACCGAACTGAAACTCCACCCAGCAGAAAATCGGTTCGTAATCTGATACCCTGTTGGCTATAAAGTGCCTTAGAAACAAATGGAAAAAGAACCCGTTAGTGTGACAAAGTGTTTTAGGGATCGATGTCATAAGAAGTGCTTTAGATCGTCGAGTAGGTCGTGTTCTCTAAACGTTTGGGAAGGTTTCAAACTAGTTAGAAGATGACGCAATTTTCAGGAAACCAAGAGACGGAGGCCTGTGAGTGAGCGAAAAGGAAACATTGTGTCGACATCGCGTGAACTGCAACAACTGTTCATTTCCATGATACAACAGGGACAGCAAGCGCTCTTGGATTTTGTGGTGAGCCGAGCATGATCAGGTATCCTGTTCCAGCTCCAAGATAGTGGTGAAAAGTCGTTCAGTAAAAAGGTGTAAAAAGAAATGCGAAAAACGCGCGGAGGCTGGGGAGAGACAGGGCGGTGGCTCTCTCTCATTTTTCTCGCCGCCACTGCCCCCTTTCCCAAGTCGCGCTCGTCTTATTTTCGCTCTGCTCGTTTTAATACGTCCCCACTATACTATCTGAGAGCCTGGCACAGGCTAGATCAAGGCAGCACGAGCAATAACCAATTTTTAATCAACGGATCATGCTATACATAGCAGAGAATTACTAATCCGGCCTCCAGCGTGCCATAATTAGGTACGAAAAGTGGCCTGCACTTGAATTGTGGGCTCCTGACACTTCACTTTGAAAAACGACGCCTTGAATGAATTGTCCATCTGAGAGAAAAGCGCTTTCGCGCGCTTACATGCCGACTGTCTACAACAACCAGCTGGAACGTGAAAAACAAAAAAGCCGTTTAATTAAATCCAATTAGCAGAAAATTATGTCCTTTGTGTTGGAAACCTCTTTTTTAGCCGTTCCCATGCTAACTGGCTGAAAAACGGTTCAAAAAGGAGGATTTGGTCCAAAACGCGGGTTTTCCATAAAAATTGGCTGACGGCAGAGGGTCAATTTCCTTTCCCAACCAGAAAAACCGGAGAAACTGATCGAAAAAAAAATGAAAAGGTTCATCAGTAAGCTTAAACTAGATACTTACCATTGCAAGACTGGTAACAGGAATGGTAATATTCTGAGTTAAAACATTCCATGTCGCAACCTCCTCCGGCACAATACTGGTAACATACATCGTCAATCACTTCATTGCATTCAGTAGGGATGACTACAGGTGGTCTGGTTGTTGGTATTGGTCTGTTTCTGATCCGTAATCTTCTAAATAAGGACGCTTCAGTTGACGTCAGAAGGATGGAGGTGAAAACAAGCAGTATAGGGAATAAACAGTTGGGCCAATTCATGTTTCAACGTGGCAGTCTGAAACAAAAAATGTTGAGATCTTGAACGGCGTGAAACAACAGGTAACCCAAGCCACTTGAGAGCCGTCAGATATTCACATATGATTGGACTTTGCGTAAAACCCCCAATTCATGATATTGTATGGCAAAAAACATCGTAAATAATACTTCAAGATATTTAGTCGGTTACACAGGAAACCAAAATGCGACACCTGCGGACATTTTTGTCTGATTTTTGGCAACATAGCTATTTTCACTAACTTGAATACGTGTACGCTGATTTTGAAAATCATTGTTGCCAAGCTCAATGGGCCATTTGCACGATGGCATTGTTGCTAGCATTGATTTGTACTGTAAAGATGATTAAGAGAACTTCTGAAGTTTTTACACTGTTTTCGAATAAATATGAAGCCGTCACGTTACCATCGACCACGCCCAAATACGCCCCTTAATGTATAGTTGTGATATTTTCGTCAAAAACATTTTCTTTGTTAAAGCTGGAGAAAAAGTTTCAGTATTTCTTTGTATATTGTTGAATATAAGTCATTTCACAATTAACTTTGTCGGGTTCACGATAGTGACTGGCTAAATTCACGTAACATTTTCTAATAAAACATGACGGGACGTTGCTCCTTACACCAAGGTTTCATTATGTCAAAAAAAAATTGTTGTTTAGTACTGTAAATGTTGTAAATAGTATTTCTTAGCTCTCTCAAATAGACTACAACGCTTTTAACATAAGCGAGTAACGGTTGATGCAGCAGTTAGCGTCGCCTTAGAACATCCACACAGCTGAGTGCACACGACATGCAACTTACTGTATTTACAGCGCAGCCAGTAACGAACCAGTTTGGAACTCGCTCCAGACAAGCCTCTTGGATTGAATCGAGGGTCATAAAGACAGGGACCAGTATATCTTCAGCTTCAGAGTTCATCCTGTCTCCTCTGGGTCCTGAAGCACCACTTTTGGAATGTGTGCCTAGCGCCAAACCGTGTTGATATGTCCGTTAAGAATGATTACATAGCGAACAAAATTTCCTATTGCCTTCTTCGTGGTTGGATTTCAAAGCAGCTACAACAAGCAAAGGATCCAAGGATTTTTTGTCTCCTAGTGCAAGAAATACTTATACAATGGAGCATCTCTTCCTGCAATACCTCCTGCACCATGTTCTTTGAGCGTCGACTTCATCGTTGACTTAATGGATATTTAACGATCGATTAACACAATGATCCTCTAACAGTCCAGACCCTCTCTGTAACACAAAGTCCACCGGCAGCCCGAAAACCCTCCGAACGGTTTGCTTTTTCTTGTTTTCCAATAGCTGCTTCCAAAGAAATTAGCCATCGATGAGCAAAGCAGCATTTCCTTGAGGTGGGATTGACTCTCTCTGTCAGAAAATCTGTTAAAGAAGACTTGTTTCCAGTTCGCATGGTGTGGCTCATGATTTCTGCGAGAGACGGTCGCTCTGGCATTAGCTCATATTTCAATATGGCTTGCTTTTGTTACCTCGTTCCTGATAAGCTGTCTGCTTGCAGAATTGTTTTTCTCGAAGCTAGTTCTATCACTTTTAACTTTGTAATCTCGTTCTTCTTTTATGTCTCTGAAGAATCATGTAGCGCTTCTCCGTTGCACTGGACAAGCTTTTCAACGCGAGGCTGTCCCTTAGAACAACTTGGACAAGAGACTGCTTAATTTCCGAAGTCAAAGGAAGGATCTTTTGTCTGAGTGAAGAACACCCCATTGTTTTGTGGTGTAGTGCATTCTCAGCTGCATTATCTTTCTTTTGTCTTTCCCTGGCACTCTCTCTGTGGATCAAGCGCTCATCGTGGTGAATGTTAAACAACATCGTTGGGAACCCAGGTTGTAGGATAGAAGCCATCTGCTAAGCGCTGAGGACGTTTTCGTGATAACAACAATGCCACTACTCTTCTTCCAGTCACATTTAGTCACTCCAGGGCACCCTTTGTCTTCTTATTAGTTTTCACCTTTCAATAAGCCGTAAAAAGGTTTTACCTCAACGTGCTTGGTGCAGGAACAGAGGTTTTCACTCCCAAGAACACGTGTTATGGAAGTATGTTTTTAATTACAGCTTTTTGTTAATACAAGTATTACATTCATTCCTCAAAAAGTACCTTAACCTGAAATTTTATATTAAAGGGCGTGGTCAATTATCAAGTGACGGCTTAATATTCATAGAAACAGCATAAAAACTGTCACAGAAATGTTCTTAATCATCTTTGCAGTACAATTATCACAAATTCTAAGCGTTTTTTCGTTTTGGTAAACTTAGAATTATTAAAGGAGAGAAGACACCTTATTTGGACAAAGACGTCATAATAAAATTCCCCAAAACACCATCTTGATACAAGGTTTGAGCTTGTCAACAATGATTTTCGAGATCAGCGTACTCGAAGGAGTAATTAAGAATAGCTATGTTGCTAGATTTTAGTTCCCTGTTTACCCGACAAATGGGAACGACAATTAAAAAAGTTCAACCTAAGACTCTCTAGAATCGCTCGCCACTGAAACACAAATAATGCTCATTCCTGCATAACGTGAACAACGCTGAGTGTTCTCGATGCAAACGGCGGTTGCTAAGAAGACCGTATTACGTTACATGACATTGACATCGCCCATCGCGTTCAGGAAAGAGCGAGTGCTGTTGGTAACAAACTCAAACCTATCATTTGTAAGTTCATTGGGCGTTTTGCTAAGGAGAAAGTAATGGCTACCAGGAGAGCGTCCTGGGACATCAGCTCTCAGGACCTTGGCCTACCAGAAAACATCTCTTTTGAACGTATTGGAATTTACAGTCACTTAACACCGAAGCTTCAAGGGCGTCTTCATAGTGCCAACAACTTCAAAACTCAACATGGCTACAAATTTTGTTGGGCAAATAATGCCGTTATCTTCCTTTTCAATAATGAAACTTTAAGACCAATCAAACTAACTAAGATGGATGATTTGACGAAACTTATAGCTATCTCTGATTTATCTTCAAGATGAAAAAGAGACACGGTCAAGATAACAGAAGCAACAGAAACAAGCAACGGCGAAAAATTACTAGAGTAGTTTTCCTTTTCTTTTGGTTTGATGTGGATCCATATTACTTAATAAAAATACATTTCACTAATTGTTTTTGAAAAACTGTTATTTTGTTAATCTCTTTTTTTGACACCTGTAATATTTTAAAACTTGTGACACCGACCTGCCTCGATTAGTTTTAGCTACCTGCAGGTCAGTCAGATTTGATTTTAGTAGTCTGTCATATAAAATAAATAAATTTGAAACTTGAACTAAACTTGAATTTATTGTCTCACCATACTTATCCGGTTCGTTCACAAAGGTTGTGCGTGCAGGAGAAACTTTCATTTTCTACTTTCCTAACCAGAAACGAAGGAACTACCGATGAGTCAGAAAAATGTTTCGGATGCTATCAGCAAGAACAATTCAATTTGCACCGAGAA